TGTTTGGTTTTATGTGTTTTGTTAAATTATAGGTTTTTCTATATGTCATTCACAGAATTAAAGATGTATATCCCCAAGACATAACATTAGTATCTTGCCCCCACCTCAGACGAAATCCTGTGATAAACACATGATAGTTGTTATTTACTAGAAATTTAAAGGTGGAGATTTGAGCCGTTATGGTAGCCCTGTTAAGAAAAGGTAGATATATCTTCACTCTGAGCCTTGGATTGATACTGTTTGCTCAGTCTACAGCAAAAAGGTTATGGGGGTACTTCAGTCTGAGGGCACCATGAAAAAGAGAAGCCATCATGATAGGCATCATGTGGGTCACCAGCCATTTATGAAAGCCCCTTTGTTGGGGACACTAAGATGCAGACATCCGTTGTGTCCGAGCCCACATGGAGGTGATGACCCATAAACATGATTATTTTCTGAGCCTGGGCTTATACCCATATGTAACAGGGCTTTGCAAACACAAATGGTTAAAGTGGAAGATATAAAGACATCAACACTAAAGGACAGAGGGGGGGGGGAAGCTTGGTGTGAGCTACTTACATCTATTCAAAAAATTGTCAATGCTCTTGTTTTTCCTCAGGGCAGGGAAGTCAAGGTCATACACCAACGCATCCAAGCCATCCTGCAGGGAGAGGAGAAGGGTTAACATGCACGCAAACAAAGCAACACAGTCTCTGCTACTACATTCCAGACAGGATGTGGGAAAAAAGTGTCCTGTTAGACTGTTAGTCACTGTAGAATGTTCTGAACAGAAACTTCATTCGGCACAAAGCGGTGGGTTTCCAGCCTGGGTTACGTTAACAACCTAGAAAGATTTTAGCTTATCGCAAATAGCCAGATTTCAGTGCTACTGTAAGCATTCCCAGTTTCTTAAAAGTGATTGACAACAGATCTTTTGAAGAAAATCGAAGGGACAGTACTATGATCAAGTTAAATTCACACAACTACTGTTGTAAATCCTTTTAAATGCAGGCTGAATATCTTCATGAAGTCTTTCTATACATATGTGTGACAATTTTACAAAAGATACAGTTTAAAACAAACATTCTGAATAGGCTGAACTAACATGTCAAGCGCTCATTTGCAAATCATAACCACCAACCAGTCATTCTGGCCGGAAGACCAGAAGTTGAATTTTCCATGCCTGTCAAAAAGAGTTTCTAATAAAAGTAACTGAAGAAACAAAGCACCTTTTGATAACTGAGACAGCAGGGTGGTACCTAACAATGACCATACAGTGAAGCCAACTGTGCAACTTTACAACACAAGTTTACTTCTGCAACACTCTTTTCTGACCCTAATAATTTCAATAGCATTGTCCTTGTTAGTTGTAGAAACAGGGCTAAGAATGATGTTGTAGATAAATGAAATTGGAAAAGAACATGCAAATCTCAAGTTATAATGCAACGGCTATAACATTGGAATTTCAAGAGCTGTAAAATGAGGCAGGCAATCTTGCCTCAGGCCAGTCAGGAGCATAAGTGCCACTGGCAGGATTTAATCTAATCTTCCATAATCCAGGATGGCTAAAAGACGACAGGCACACAAACGCATCTTACTATTATGCGTTCCCTCTAGCAAGTGTGAGCCAGATGTTGAAAATGAACATCTTCTGACCCCGTCACACGTCAGCCAGCCCACATTGTCTTTCTTCAGAGGTAAATATTACACTTGAGCAGCCCATTAACCAAAAAAGGAAATTACTTAATTTCACTTGTTGATACAAGATAAATTATCTTTCAACCCACTTTCAAAACAAGAATCTTGTTATTCTTTGTTTATCTGTGAACTAATGCCAGATCGCTTTTTGAACTTCTGAGCAAAACAGTGATGACACATGGTGAATCAGCAGCTCAGACAAGGCAAGGAATCCTCCTAAGTAACTGCTGCTTCTGCTCAGCAGTAAGAGTCAGGGCCATACCTCCCTCTGTGAGACATGAAACAAGCAGGCGCCCTGCGGGATGGGTAGAAACAGGGAAAAAGGCAGGTGGGAGTAGAAAAAGGAAAGATACAAGGTGAAGAATGGCTGATGGGAAAAACTAAAGCAACACAGACATTCACAGAAACAAAATATGGGGAAATAATGAAAGGGTATGCTGTGATCAACATGCATGGCAGAGCTGAGACTACCATCTGCCCAGCGTTAAAAACACTTTCAAGATGGAGCACTTACACAAGATAGACCTTAGGCTGTGAGGAAAAAAGGGGCCTTGTTGGCCATACAGTATCCAGCCACCCTGCACTGGGGGAAAATAACACTGAAGAACTGAGTCCTTTAGGACCCTAATCACAAGGCTCTGTGCTCAGCAATGCACGTTTGCATAACTTCCTGCCACAGAGAACTCTGGACAGCCACAGTTACATTCCTTAACAGGACTGTACACGTCAGAGAGCTATTTTAGGTATGTGGCCCAACAAGTTCTCAACAAAAGTGAAGGAAGGGAGAGGGGTAAAAATCCATCCCAAGTACAGAATCACATAGTAAACTTTATTTTCAACCAGCACTGGTGCTTAATACTATGACAGAAAGGTACAGAGAGTGGAGGGCTGGTGCAAGTGTGGCCGACTGGTCCAACAGGAGAACAAATGAAGGAAAAAACAAAGAAAATCGGAAGACCACGCTCGGTCTTCTACTGAAGCACCAAAGTGACAAAAGAACTTGGTACAGTAAGTAAAAACATCTGTGTTGCATAAAAAAGAACCATGATTTAAATAGAACTAAGCTGATTTAAGGAAATGACTGTGCATCACATCATATTACAATTAGCTAGGTTACATCTCTGCAGTTGCATCTCCACTGTGTTGTCAGCTACTCTTGTGGAAAGACACATCTGTATTCTGACAGTTATGAGTAGACATTTACAAATAAAATCATCTGTGGCAATTAGGGATGTAATGATACCAAAAACTCATGGTATGATGCTCCCACGATCAAAAAGTCCATGATACGATACTTGTCAAGTTACCTTACTAAATAATAAATTTGCTTTTTTGGTATAATGTATACAATTGTATATAAAAAAAAATAATGCAGCAGTCAGTAGCAGTCTTTATGGAATAAAACAACATATTACTGCAGGATCTTGTAAACAAAGGAATCACACTCACAGTGGAACATCAGTGTTTTAGCACACACAGGCAGGTTTACCTTACTCTGTCTGGTGGCTATGCCGACCGGTAACCCCCAGACCACCGGGGGCAGTAGTGAGTACCACACCGAGAAGACACCAATCTACACTAGGACAAGCCACATAAAGGTGAGATTTTTACTGGAGGTGGTTTCAAACATTGTGGTCTACCTTTTCAATAGACGATACTTAAGGGTGGTTACTAAGTGGCTGGTTCTGCATCTGTGTATCCTGTTTGTCTTCTCATCTCTGTTAAAGTGTAGCA